GGTACACTCTAACTCTTCATGCAGGTCATTGATGAAGAAGTTGAACAAGACTGGGCCCAGTACTGACCCCTGAGGGACACCGCTAGTTACCAGCCTCCAATTAGACTCAGCGCCGCTGATGACAACCCTCTGAGTTCTGCCATTCAGCCAGTTCTCAATCCACCTCACCAACCACTCATCCAGCCCAGACCTCCTGAGCTTAACCCTGTTGTCTGGAAGAAGCCCCCTCCCCAGCTGAAAAGGGTTTGGTGGCTCGGAACTCCGCCAGCGCAGACAACTCCGCAGTTTTGGGCCAAAGCACGCAGCGAGGAAGACTACGAGCCTTCATCCAGAAGACCCCCACAGACGACCACCAGATGACACTGCGCAGGCGCTAAAGAGAGGCGGAGTATGGTAATGAATTCCTGGAAATGATTATAATGATCACGCCTATTCCCAGAGCTAATTGTAATAATCCATCTCGCTTCGATAAACTTCGTAATAAATAGGTGCACGCTGGGTGACTCGGGGTGCAAGTCAGGAGGATCCCCCTCGATCCCCGGTGCGATCCCCCTCGCACCCGGCGCCGTAATACAACATAGAATCATATAGAATCATAGAATCATAGAATCATAGGTTGGAAAAGACCTCGAAGATCATCTGTGTTAGAACTCTCCGTGAGTTGTGGAGCTTGTTTCCGCACGTCGCATTGAGGAATTTCGTTTAGTGATGAGTCAGACGCGTGGTCCGATGCATCGCCTGGGCTCGTCGGACTCGCCGGAGTCCCGGCGCAGGTGCCCTGGCAGGCGGGGAGTCATGCCACTGCACTGGACCCGACCTGAGCCGCTCCACTGGAAGGCACTGGAGGGCTGCAGCCTGGGATTTTCAACGTATAAACACATTGTTTGGCTCAAAAGGTTTTGTTTCTTTTCTGCTATATTTTATGAAACACATAACTCGAATTCAATCCCTACTTTGATATTTAAAAATATCTTGAAAGAAAGGACCTTGCGAAGCTATCATTCCCCCTTGCGGAGGGTCTCAAAGCTCGGTAGATGCTGACAAAAGGTGTTTCACCACATTTTGTTGAGATTTGATGCTGACAAAAGGTGTTTCACCACATTTTGTTGAGATTTGAAGCCTTCCTCCGCAAGGACAAGCGGGACAGCAGGGCAGGTGCGTGGCGTTTCCAAAGCGCTTCTTCCAGTTCGGAGGTAACAGAATCACAAGGGAGGTTAAGCCCAGGCAAGTCATCTTCTGTGCTGCAGGATACGAAGTCGGGTGGTTCCTTTACCGTTTTGCTCAAAAGAATGGTTTGGAGGACAAAGTCACCCCATCCTTCAGGCAGAAGGAATGGCTCGGAAACGATGTCTCCCATCTGTAGCCCTCGGGGAGGGGGCAGCGACCATTTGCTGTCGTGGACGTGGTGGTGTGACGCCAAGCAGTGCTGAAGGCGGTGTGCTGGGCTGGGTGACCCGCTGCAGCAGACCAGCTCCAGACCAAAACCTGGGCAAGTTGAGGTAATCTTCACGTGCTACGTGCTTCTTGAGAGTGCTCCTCACCCTGACAGCTAGGCCAGCAGCTCTCTTAGGTGTAAGAATAAACACAGTGACAGGCATTGCGGTTCAGTGGTATGAGGCATGTGCGTGGAAATCAAAGTGATAGGTTAGAAATTATTATTCGTGAAACAACAGTGGATTTTTTCAGTATAAAATGCTCTTTTTACAAGTGTTTCGGTGTCTATAAAGACATAAACCACATCGCTGAATCAATATGATATTCATTATTGGAAAGACTATTCATTATTGGAAAGACTATTTTATTTATCCTTTAAAAATATATATTAATATGAATTACATAGTTAACCATTCATGTATAAATGCAAGTGTTGGAGATCTGTAACCAAGACACAATGCCTAGGTATTTTTAAACACATTTGTTTTTGGGATTTTTTGTATGGGTTTTTTTTAATGTGAATAATGGCAAAAGGAAAAGTTGATGGGAGAATTCGTTTTTGACCGAGTCAGTCCCTAGACTGGTTCATCGTGCAGCTACGTGAATGCTAAAAAGACCAAAAAGAAAGGAAGAGCTGGCTCCTTGCAGGAGCAGCTCCGCGTTTTGTCCCATTGAATGGAGGATGGAAAGAAGATTGCTGTAAGAAACGAGGACTCAGGTCTCCAAAACCCCTCTAGTCACTGATTTTCTGCTCCCCAGATTCCTCAAACAGGCGAAACTATTTTGAAGTGCACCATTCAACAGTAGATGCCAGCAGAATAAACCAGGAAGCCGGAAAAATTTACCAGCCCGACGCGGTACCCACTGTTGTACGTGCCCGGGCAACGTCTTATCTTTCGGGTATTCCACCAAACCGCGGCACCCCGAGACCGGGAAGAGTTATTCTGCTTGTTTGAAATCTCTGAATATCCTACAGACTTCCTGATGGCCAAGGAGACGTCGTGACCAGCCGGTGTTGGCTTTGTCCCAGCTGCCTGTAACCGGTCACCTCCCGACATGGGCCGGGAAGCTCTGCAGAACATGGGGTTGAGAGGAGTGTTCACAAGTTCCCATCTTTCGTATTCGTAAGTGTTTTCTTTCCCAGGGTTATACTTCCCCTAAATTTAAAACTTAAAACCCACGTGAGGGCTTTTAGTCTTCACAGAATCACAGACTGGGTTGGGTTGAAAGGGACCTCTGTGGGTCACCCAGCCCAACCCCCTGCCCAAGCAGGGTCACCCAGAGCAGCCTGCACAGGACTGCGTCCAGGCAGGTCT